GAGAAAGGAGAGGGTTCACCAGAGCCTGGTCAGGTTGGGATGGAACCGGTCTGCTCCTGAATGACTCCGTATCTTAACCCTTTATTGAGGTAACTGGTAAAACTTAGCCCAAATGCAAGTGTAAGGTGGACCTCAGAACTGGTATGTGCTTCCATCCTACAAAAGAAATAGTATCCTGACTTCTTTGGGGAAAGGAAGTAGGTCCTATGACCCAGCAATTACACTCCCAGGCATTGATCTCAGACACATGAAATCTTATGTCCACACAAAAATCTGTGCATGATGTTATAGCAGTTTTCTTTGCAATAACAAAAAGAAAACTTGAAACAATGAAAATGTCCAATAATAAGTGAACGGTTAAACAAACAATGGTGCATCCATACACGGAAGTCCTACTCAGCAATGAAAGGAATGAATTATTTACATGTGCAACAATTTGTAAGTTTCTCAAAGGCATTGTTGGGTGAACAGAATCAATCCCAAAATGTCACAGACTGCATGATCCCACTTATGTCACATCCTGGAAATTACAGAGTGAGAGCAGATTCACATGTGAGGGGTTTGGTACCGTGAGGGTGGGGTCACTATAAAGAACTAGCACTGGGAGACCAATGTGGCCTGCCTCCTGGTGGTGGGCACACAAACACACATGAGGGTTCAACACAGCAAAGAAGGGACTGTTTCAAGATTCAGCTGTAAATGCCAGTCTCATGGTCATTATGATGTAGATACTATTCAGTTACCCAAAATGGTGATATAATGATAGTAGGGTGATGGGGAATGGACTGTGTGTGTGTGTGTGTGTGTGTGTGTGTGAGATGAGGTCAGGAGTAACAGAACCTGGGTCCGCATCTTCCTCAGTGGGAAGTCCATAAATAATGCCCGAGAGAGAAAAATCAAGAAGTGAAATAGAAGCACACTATCTGAGGTATGGCTGCAAAAGCTGAAATAATTAGTTAAAAGAGCTAAAAGTGGCTGCCTCTCAGAGACAGAAAATCGTGGGAGGTTAGGGAGACTCCAGTTTTTACATGTAGAACTTTGCAGAACCATGTGCATATGTGACTTTGATAAAGGTAGAAACCAACTCTAGATAACTAGATTAATGTTGTAAGAGTTAAACAAAGCTCAGCCACGGGGGCTCAGTGGTAAGAGTGTCGACCCATGAATCAGGAGGTCACAGTTTGATTCCCTGTCAGGGCACATGCCTGGATTGTGGGCTCCATCCCTGATTATGCAGGAGGCAGCTGATCAGTGATTCTCTCTCATCATTGATGTTTCTATCTCTCCCTCCCTCTCCCTTCCTCTCTGAAATCAATAAAAAATATTTTTTTAAAAAAGAGTTAAACATAAAAGAATGCCCATCTATACAATAAAAGGGCAATATGCTAATCAGACCGGGCCTTCTTCCAGACGTCCTCTGGACAAAGTCCATGGTGGCGGGGGCCAAGGCAGAGGTGGTTAGGGGAGATCAGGCCAGCAGGAGAGAGCAGTTAGGGGCTTAGGGGGCAATCAGGCTGGTCAGGGAGCAGTTAGGGGGCAATCATGCCAGCAGGCAGAGGCAGTTAGGGGCAATCAGGCAGGTAGGCAGGTGAGCGGTTAGGAGCCAGTGGTCCCGGATTTCGAGAGGGACATCCCTTGAGGGGTCCTGGGTTGGAGAGGGTGCAGGCCGAGTTGAAGCTCCCCCTCGTGTGCACAAATTTCATGCACTGGGCCTCTAGTACTATTTTAATTAGTAAGACTTTTATAAGTGTTGGTTGTAAAAATGATGATCAAAATCAATTACCATCCTAAAGAGTAGTCTAAAACCACTAAAAATAGTAATTATGCTTTTAAAAGATTCTATAAACTAGAAAGTGTTAGAGATAGCTCTAATTAGAGATGCATAAAAACATTATTGGGGGGGGGAACACATGAAATTGTAAAAGTCTTTTAAAAACCTAAATAAATAGAGATATATTATATCCATGAATGGGAAAACTCAATATTGAAGACATATCAGTTTGCCTGAATTAATATTATATAAATTCAATGCAATTATATAATGTTTCTAAAAGGACTTTTTGGTGAAACTTGACAAAGTCATTCTAAAATGCATTTGGGTCAAGAATAGCCTGACAAGAAAAGGTAGGAAGACTTTCCCCAAAGAGGTCCAACATTATTATAAAGCTTCCGTAATTAAGACAGGGCTATTCTGACAGAGAGACAGGCAAGCAGCTCAAAGCAACAGAAACCTCACAAAGAAAACCACATCTTTACGGAAACATGATATATGGCAAAGGTGGCAGCACCAATCATTGAGCGCTGGGTAAATAATCTTTGTGGAAGAAAAAGAACAAACTGATGGTTGCCAAATGGGACAGGGTCAGGGGACTGAGTGAAAGGGTGAAGGAATTAAGAAGTATACATTGGTAGTTACAAAATAGTCATGGGGATGTAAAGTATAGTTTAAGAAATATAATCCTATATAATAAAGAGCTAATATGCAAATGGTCATCATGCCCTCGCGTCCTCATGCTCTCATGCCCTCGTGCCCTCGCGCCCTCACGCCCTTGCTCCAGAGCCAGGGGACTTGAGGCTGGGCTGGGGATCCTGAGGCTGTGCTCTCCCCACCCCCCTGCCCTGTGGGGCTTGACGGGGATAGGGCTGGCCAGGTCTGGGTCTCGCATGATTTTGAGGTGCGTGTGGGTGGACAGGGACTTGACTCTGGGTCCTGCGGAACTCCCCAGACTCTGACAGGAGGGAGATTTTCCTATACATTTTACTACTTTTCTCTCATCTCTGACACTTCTATTATAGAGAAAGGGCAAATT